CTTCTACCTGACATATTTGGTAACGTCCTATAGGTGGTCAACATGCTAAGTAACGCCTGCTCTACTGATGCACCCGCTCTAGTTGCTTTAAGCATGGCTGACTTGAACGTCTGCACTAATCTTTCCACCTCTCCATTTGACTGAGGATGGAACGGTGGAGCCAAAATGTGCTGTATCCCGCTACTTTTACAAAATTTTTGAAATTCCGCTGATATGAACTGCGGGCCGTTATCGGAGATCAATACTCGTGGGAGGCCTTCTGTTACGAAAACTTTCTTCAAAGCATCTATTGTATGTGGTGCAGTTGTGTGTTGCATGCGCATCACGTACGGATAATTTGACAATGCGTCCACTACTAACAACCACATATGCCCTAAGAAAGGACCCGCAAAATCTACATGTATGCGGTCCCACGGCTCGCAGGGTTGGGGCCATGAGCTTAAATCCGCTCTCGGCGCTGCCTGACTAGTTTGGCATGCTTCGCAATGCTTGCTCATCTCCTCTATATCTTTGGTTATTCCTGGCCAATAACAATAACGGCGGGCTGCTTGCTTTGTCCTGGCTATACCCCAATGACCCTCATGTAAAAGGCGTAATACCTTTGGTCGCAACTTATGCGGAATCACTACCCTAACTCCTTCATCGCTAGCCAGTAATAATACGCCGCCCTTAACCGACAGCCTGTGTTGGAGCTTATACCATTCCGTCAGCGCCCTGGTTCGCCTATGCGCGCTGGACCAACCAGTTTGCACGTGGTACAGCACTTGCCTGAGCTGCGGATCCTTCTTTGTTTCCTTTGCCACTTGATATGACGAGACTGGAAAACCTGATACTGCCTCCTCTTCGGCTTGGTCCAGCTGGAGACAGGCGATGTCCTCAGAGTCAAAAGTTGCATCCGGCCCTTGCGGAAGACGGGATAGTGCATCTGCGTTAGCATGCTGATATGTAGATCTGTAAAGTATCCTGTAACTATAATCAGACAGGAAAAGCGCCCACCTTTGCATCTTACGCGCCGTATTATCTGGGATACGCTTGTGTGGCGAGAACAAAG